GGCCCTTTCTGCAAAGTGTAGGAGAGTCCTCCAAACAAGCGGCATCTCCGCGATACCGAGTTCGAATTCCGTGGGCCTGGGGCACTGCCGCCATCTTGGTGTCTGGATCCTGGAGAGAAACGGAGTGGCAGTAGGGAGAGGGGAAACTGGCAAAGGGAGAGAATTCTTGGTTTGGAAGGAGAGGCCGGGAGGAAAAAGGCAGTCCCAGTGTATGGGAAAACTCGCCCCAGCGAGGCAGGGAGGTGAGTTTGCCTGGAACGATTGGCACTGGAAGGCAAGAGCGAGGGGCTGCAGAGTGCGATTCTCCTTGGAAACCAAACAGCTAACCAAGGGCAGGTCCGCGCCGTCCGGCTCCCGCACCTGCCCATGGTGCCCAGCCCTGGGCGGCCGCTGCCGGATCCCGGCATTTTTTTTTTTTTTGACGTTGTTCACCTAGAACGAAATTTCACCCATCCGTCTGTTGTCTTTCTGCTTCGCTGTCCCCCGGTTTGTCTTTCCTTGCAGCGAGAGCTTGGTGTCAGGTGGCCCAGAAGTTCACGGGCGGCATCGGAAACAAGCTGTGCGGTGAGTGCCAGTGCTCAGGGCGCGAGTTGGACAAGGCCGGGCGCCTGGGGCCCGCGGGGACAAAGCCGCCTTCTCACCTGCGTGTTCCCATCAGCGGAATCGGGGGCTTTTGCCGGGAATGGGCTGGGACGAGGGGGCCGGGCCTGGCAGGCGACTGACCGGCGCACCCCTTGTACTTGCCCAGCCCTGCTCTATGGAGATGCCGAGAAGCCAGGAGAGAGCGGCAGGAGCGAGCCCCCACGGGCCACCTCCCAGAAGGCCTGCGCCTGCAACCAGAAGCCCTGCAGCTGCCCCAAAGCCGACGTCAACTATGAGTTCCTACACGCAACAGGTAAGGGCGCCTCGCCGGCCCTGGGAGCCGCGGTCCTCTGGAGCCAGGGGTCGAGGTAGAGGGCGGAGGCGGCCTTACGCGCATCTGTGGCGGAAAGCGAGAAACGCTGGGCCTGCTCCCGAGGTCCCAGTCGGACCCCTGCCTCTGCGTGGAGCTGGGCGCCGGCGTTCCAAGGGGGCCTCAGGGCTGCGGGGCTCTTCCCCCCGTGCTCGGGTCTGCGCCGGACGAGGCGCGCTCGCGCGCCAGAGCTCTAGGCCGGCTTCCTGGTGCCGCATATCCAGCTGTATAGAGGTCTTCAGCTCCCAAGAGTTATTTTGTAGCTGCGATTTTATTCACGTGAGACCATTGCGCGGTTTTACTGTCTTGCGCTCATACACCCAATCACCCATACATGCGCGCGCGCGCGCGCGCGCGCACACACACACACACACACACACACACACACACACACACACACCCCACTTTGGAAACAGCGGGCCTTCCTAACAGGCGAGAGAGCCGAACATTGCATGGTCCACTTTGTCTGATTAACATTTCTAACGTGAGGTGTTTCCATAATCATTTGAGATGATTTGCTGAGAAATAACGTGTAGGATAAATCCCTGTGAAATAGCACACTATTTTAAAATAGAAAGCAAACAATTGAATGAATTGAACATGAAATGCAAAAATTAATTTGGGGTGGGAGGATAAATCAT